TGGAGATCTACGATGTGTTCCATGAAGGCACTGATGAACGACTTGCATTGCGAGGTGAGTGGGGAAAAGCTCACCTTCCTTGAATGGCTTCTTAAGTCAGAAGAAATACTTACTTTCAGAGCGCTACTGCTCAGACACCTTTCCGGGCCCGACGGTGTCAGCCTTTGGTGCACATTCAATGCGTGTCATCTTCAGTTCGGATTCGACTGGCACAGGAAATGGTTTCAAAGCTCTCTACGAAATTCGGCCTGCTGCCAAGGAGGACATCCCTACGCATGGTACCAAAGCGTTATCTTTGCTAGACATTACTGTGTCATTAAATCCCTGGATTACTCATTAACAGACGAAAACAGTTATAGATGTTCACGTTCGCAAGGCGCAAACTGGTGGGTCGGGAGATCCGAATTCGTGCAGAACTAGATAACTAGAACTTCGCGCGGCAGGGGTAGAGACTCACCCGCTGCCGTTCCGGCGGTGCGCGCGAAGCAACTGTCAGCGTATTTTTCGTTGCGTTGCGGCAACTCGGATCTCCAAACGCCACTCACGATTCAACGCTACCATATAGACGAGAGAAAATAGCCTTTCAGAAACTAAAGAACCTCGTGGCGATGGAGCCTATCGATGCGGTCGGCGAATCAGAGCCAGTGCTACAACTCCTACTGGCTACGTGATGTCGCCTAATTATCCTATCAAGTACAACAAGGATGTGCATTGCGATTGGGAAATTGTTGCAAGAGATGGATATAAGGTGAGATCTGTCCAGCGAAGCTTTGAATTTTTTGGGCTTTTGAGGTTGCCAGGTGGAACAATTGTTGAATTCGGCCCGACGTTATAGCCGTGTTCAGAAGTATGGTATGTTTCAAGTTTTGAATTCGCAACCCACCCCGCCAGGCGCCTAATCAACTCTTGCGGTTCCGGCCCCGTGTCAGGAAACCCAACCCCTCGGGAAGACGCCAATACCGTAAAAATGTCATATGCTGCGAAATTTTACTTTTTTCTTGTGTCCTCCCGAGGTATCGGCGTATGAATTGGGTTCTCAGGATTGAGCTATTTTGATGCCCGCTGAAACAGTCATTGCGCCCGGCAACGCGATATTTCGTCCTTATTGTGACCCGTAGTGAGTCTGCCGCTTGGTCCTCAAGCGCGCCCATGGTGTCACGCGCGGCCCTCGAATGGTGTTGTCTCATTCCATATTGTGGGATGCGCTCCACTGAGCTGTTCTGCAGTCACGTGAAATAGCGTTGGAAGGCACATTCCACGCTTTTCGAAAGGGCGGAGTCGGGCATTGGGCCTTCTTCGTTCTAGTGTTCCTTCCCCTCTGCCGTGGGGCATATGAGCGAGGATAGCAGGAAAGTATGTCCACACTTCCAGAAGCCATACTTATGCCCATGCTTCTCAACTTCATACTTTATTGACCGCATCGCAACCGCTCGCACTCGTATCATTCGTATCAGCCTTGCTTTTGTCCGCTGTGATGTAGAATATGGAATAAACAACAAACTTAACAAAAGGACTCAAAACGACTCAGGTCGGCCAAATCCTATGTTGTACTGTTCAGATTTTACTTTAGCAATAGGTAAGCGAATGGAAATTGAGGGCGAAATGTCCGCGACAACGGCAAGCTGTCAGAAGGTGGGAAGTCTTCGAGCTCACTGCTTTCTTTAGTTGTTTCAGTAAATCCACCAGTCATTTAACTACTAATTGACCTTATTATTTACTTGACTTACCAAGGAACCTGCTAGATTTTCCACCTAATTTTTACCAATAAGCCCAGGTTTACTTCGGAAATTTCATGATCCCGGCGTGATTCACTGAAAGCTAATTTTTGTTTGTATTCAGGCAGTTATTCGTGTGTCCGGTGCACCTCGACCAGAGTATTGCGGTACAGATCAAAGTGTATTCACGCCGTTGGTTACCAAAAACAGCTCCGTTCGGATCAGGTACTGGTGCCCATTTTTTCAGTTCTCAGAAGTGGTTGGAAACCATGAGAGATGATCCCTACCAATTTGTAGGTGGCTAGGCTCCACATCGCAGGAATAGAGATACAGTTAGAAAACCTGTCTGTTATGCCTGAGATAACATCAAATGTTTCACATTCCATCTTATTATGTTCTAGCTTCCTCACCAGCCCCGACAAAGTGAATGGTCTCAAAGGTTTCAATATGAGTTGGACTGAAGTTCGTGAAGTGAACGGTAAGGTTGTTTTCATTCAAAATGATTTTCAGTTTGCAATTCAGTATACTTTGACGTGGCCAAATGTGTAGCGCGTTATGGTTCCTCCTTTTTTTCTCTAGGGCTCGCCCTTGCCTTTCCATTCCCTCCCTTGTGTAGCCATGTGTTTTGCCAGCAATTCTAACCCCTTGGTCAATAAACAGGCTGATTAATTAGAATGTTTACACTTTCAGAAATGAGCGACTGTTCATCTTCGTCTGAATATATGTGCACCTATTCCAAACTATGCATCAGTTCGATGTTACGGTGCAATGGTGACGCGAATTGCGGACATCAGGATGACACAGATGAAACCCACTGTAGGTTAAATGAAATTTTTAAAGTCGCCCTTCAAGCTCCTGGTATTGCCGACAGCTTATGGCTATTGGCCTTTTCAGCATATTTCGGTCTCGGAGCGGCTGAAACCAGTACCCGCCAGAGCGTATAGATTGTAGTGGAGTAGGTATTGTAGATAAGGGAGTGACCGTTGGAGGCGTTCTTGCGCATATAGATTTTGACGCAGCGCCAGCTCATTTCTACTCAGCCACGATGAAATACTCTGGGCCGGCGCCGAAAGGTACGCAGACAGAGACGGCTGCACCCGACGTCGTGAAACACTCGAAGCACTTTGGGGAATGAGTTGATGACAATACATCTAAACTTTTACGGTTATTCCACGTGATGAAACGGGATGAGCCGCTTTGCGACCGCACGCACGGGCCAGTCTATGAGTTCTACCATTGGCACATTTTTTCTGTTGGTTTCAAGGATATATAGGCCCACTTCCACTCGGAGGCGATAATTCATTAACCTATTCCGGTGTAGGAGGCGTCTTGCTTCTATGTTTTATAACCGCCGCGAATCATATTCTAATTTTGTTGAAGTGCACCCCTTATCGTCGCAATCATCCGGGCAGCATGAGGTCGCTAAAATGAGCCCACCCTCAGCTGCGCTTCTTCCAAGAGTGAGCCGGTTCAGGTAGAAAACATAGCAGAAAAATTCGGGTAGGCTTATTCCTGCCTCCATCCTAGCACCGTCTTGGCTAATATCGATGATATCAGCTGTACCTCATAGACGAGAAGTCGCCTGCGTCAACAAATTGTTTTGCATGAGCCTTGACAGAATTTCGCCTTGCTTCCCCCGTGTTTCTTTAGGCTCCGCCGTGAGCGGTCAAAGTGTCGTTACCCACTAAAGTCAGGAGTCAGGGCCACGAAATTCATAGCGCCGGTCCCAGCAATTATAAATAGATGTGCACATTTATGAATGTTTCACTTTTGTAACAGGTTTGCTATTGAGTTATCAGATGATTTTGCAGTGAAATCATTGCATTTGCTATAAAAATATGTAACACATAACCATAAGTGTGTGGCTTTTGAGTGAGTAGTGCAACAGGTTCAATGCGCATGGAGCCTGTTAGTAGTTTTATTTTAGAAATCATGTGTTAATGTCCGCTTATTTGATGTTTCATCACCTCTGGTACCCCATTGGCACACCCCATTTCCCAAATATTGGGAGGGCGTGACTGCGTACTTCATACAGATATGTACAATAGCCGTTTTTCGTGGGAAATTTTCATTAAAAACAACTGCAATCCTGAATGCTGTTGTACAAAGACGTGGTCACAATTGTCCTAAAACAAAAGATTTCAGTAGAAGCGTCAGAGTCTGAATAAGGTACGCAGCCACCCCACTCTATCCGGGAAAATGCGTAGTGTGGGTGTACGTCTGAACAGTGCCGTTTAAAACAATAGATGTTGTCGCTCATCCCGCAGTGATCGTTTTGAGGTTGCACAGATGGCCTGTCATCGTCCAAGTTCGGTTCATTGTCGATGCTGTTTATCAGCTCGACCACCACCGTCGTTATGTCTCAACTGCTGAACATCTCACCGCTTCTGATTGCTGTGTGGAATCCGATGTGATTCACCCGTGTGCTGTGCATTACATGGTCATTGACTGATAGTATAATAGTAAGTGTTCTCTAGGCTGAATTGACTGTTTAAAATGGAATGATTTGGAGCATAACCCTAATCTGAATACAGGTACCGAACCTGCTTTCATATCGCATATTCAAGCAGTAAGAGGGGCGTGGCTGCGTACTTCATGACCGCGCCTGCGCTTCCAGTGGCGTAGTTTTTCTTTGAGACAGTTATAGTCATGTCCTCATCTACCTCTTCAGGATGACATCGTCTTTCAAATGGAAATGAAGTGTTCCGCAAAAATGCATCGCGTCACGATCTATTTCGAGCTCACATCCCAGCCCAGCAGCCTCCCATATCCTGGATATGACAGGTTATGTGCTTAGCCTACTGACGAGACCTAATCGCTACATCAGAAACAGGAAGCAGATATGATTGAGCCACGCGTATCATGTTTCGAGTCTTCAGAAAGTTGGCTGACAGGGGTCCCGTAATTCAATATTTTCTGCAATTTCAGCGTGTACCCTAAGGGCCTACGGTTATTCCCATTGCCCCAATGATTTCATGGGAGAGTGATATTATCAAATCCTCACGTTTGAATTTCACCACACCTGGCCATCCTCGCTATTTCATCATACTTCAATGAGCACATTCAGCTCTGCCAAATATGTACTTCAAATAGTGTTCAGCAAATCGGGAGGGCTGTGCTTCGGCGTCACATTATTTCCCGAAGCGAATACATTGAGGAAGTATGCTACTGGGACCGTGGTGAGTTTACAGTCATGAACCTGTAAAACAACACACACACAGTGGAAGCGAGAGCAGCCAAGGCGGCCTTTCCCACCGATTGATGCCATTCTGAGCCTGCAACAATTGGTGGAAAAAAGCTTTCCTGTCGGCGCTCTAATTCACCACCCGACGCCCCTCTCTCTCGCAAAGCTGACTCGCATATAAATCGTTACCGACCCGAAGCCAGTCGGGGATGCCTAGCTCGGCTGGCATTTTGGCGCCAACGCGAACCATCTACTCGACCATCCAGGGCACTGGGTTCAATTAGTGCGAAGGAAGGGGCTGGGGCGAAGCCAAAAACTACGCCCCGCTAACACGCTCTGACTGACTTCAGTGATAACAACTGTACTTTCGGTATTAACGACTGTACCTTCTCGATGCATAGCCCGTGAGGTGCTATGTCCCTCCGTTCCTTTCTCCGCTCATAATTTCGGAGGGGGGGGGTGAGGGGCGAATGTTGATTCAGGATATCTAAATGCCCCGAATCCTTTTGGGCCTCATTCCATGATTGCGTGTGTACCGGTGGTTGATTCTTTTTCATGGACAAGGACAATGATTGAGTGGGTAAGCCAGGAACTCTTCCGGCGTTTTCCCAATGATCAATGGTAGCATTTCATAAGAATAAATAACTTAGACTGCTTTCATACTTTGCGGCACCGTTCACCAGCGACCAATAGCGTCCACCAGCGTTCCGAGCGTCGGCAGCGTCAGCGACTAGGAAAGTATAGATATCGATCTAGCGTCTGCCAGCGTGCACCAGCGTCTACCAGCGTCCAGAAGAGGAGAGTATGGCGCGATAGGAGGGTAGCAGACAGCTGGCGGTGGTATGGGGAGATTGAAGGATAGCAGACAGCTGGTAGAGTATGGAGATATAGGAGAGTGACAACTGCTGGTCGGGTGACGCTGGCAGACGCTAGACCGATACATCTACTTTCCTAGCCCTCGCGACGCTGGTGGACTTGGGTAGACGCCGGAGGACGCTGGCAAACGCTAGATCGATATCTATACTTTGCTAGTCGCTCCCAGTGCCGGAAGCTCGGAATGCTGGTGGACGCTATTGGTCGCTGGTGGATGCTGCCGCAAAGTATGAACGCAGTCTCATAATAACCCAAAAAACTCCTCTGGCAGCCAACTTCGAGGTGCGGTTAGCGCATTTCAATGTAAGCCTCCTTCCTACGCTCTCAATTTCGGGAGGTGGGGGTCCGGAG